AGATGTATACATTTCCTACAAACAAATAAAATAAAATTAGGCGTTGGCGCGATAACCAATCCGATAATAAGTTCGGATGAAAAAATATCGCCTTGCGGATCTCCAGACAGCGATCGTCATCAATCAACGATTAATAAAAGCTTCCATCCGGAAAGTTTGAAAACTTGACTGATGGCGTCGGGAATCCATTTAAAAATTTAAGAACGTGATCGATGCCACCGACGAATTACTGATGAATTTGGTAGTTTTTGAAGATAATAAATGTTCAAAGTGCCTTCCTTCTATGCAGGATTTAATCCTGCGTCGTGTGTTAAACACGGCCGCACTGATTTCGGCTCTCGAAAGGTTGGCTACAGCGTCTCGACAACATTTTCAGGGGTTGTAACACGAGTTTGATAAATAATATCTTTTATTCTACCCCAAAGGTAAAAGTCCAGGACAGTTAGGTCTGGAGATCTCACGGGCCAAGGAAATGGAATGAATAATTTCTGTCGAGATGGTTTATTTCTTTTATGGTTTGCTACCTAGTACTTAAAAGGCCAGTAATTAATAAAATTGGCCTTTAACGATATCGACGAGTGACTAAAGCTGAGTTTTTATTAAAGAAAAAGTGAAAACAGATAAGGACATCACAACAATGGTATCGTAAAAAAACTGATATAAACTAAGGTAAATAAAAAAAAATTATTTCAATAAAAACCTGATTGGTGGCCACTTCACTCTCTAAAGGTAGAGTAAAACGCCCTCTATTGACCGTTTCAGAACCTCAAAAACAATATCCAGCCGAATAATTATTTTTCTTCAAAATTTTATGCCCTTACTGTTGGTAATTTGAAGCACGCTTTACCTCTGCATATCTACTCAAAAATTAAATTTTGAAGGGTGGGGGGGGGGAGGGGGAGGCGTCTCACGCGCGTCGCGACGGTATTAAATTTAAGCGGGAGCGTCTTTCTCGGGTAATAGATCGCTCTGTTGATCGATACGCGTGCAAACTTATCAAACGCTCTCGCGCTTTCTCTTCCTTTTGGTTTAATTCGTGCCATTGATACTACTACGTCGCACGCTGAGCGGGGGAGGAAATCTCCCACTTCCGACGCCCGCGACGCCCGAGCGATAATAATCACAGATCTAGGATTACAGAAATAAACGCGTTAATATAAAATATTTAATTCATATATTCTAAAGCCATGTTAGCCAAGTAACATTTTATTACATCTCTTTATTAACAACTCAATCCCTTTAAAAAAATCTTCTGGACTATTGGGAGGATGATCACTCTGTTGGAATCCACACTCTAAAATGGCAGCTTGCGCAATACCAGCAGTATGGACAGGTGCATTATCGTGCAAAAGACGCACGCCTCTGGGCAGTTTTCCTCGACGTTTTACACGTATGCAGTCTCGCCATTTATGTAATAATGTTGCGTAACATTTACCATTGACAGTGGCACTAGATTTTTTAAAATCAATCAAAAGAATTCCTTCACAATCCTAAAAGATCGCGGCCATCACCTGTTTTGTTGACTGGCAGACTCTGAGTTTTCTTGGAGGTGCTTCACCCTTACGACGCCACTCGATGATTCTTTTTCGATAGAGGGTCATAATAGAGAACCATAGTTTCATCTCCCGTCACAATAGTTTCTATCACAGGCTTCGGTTCCGACTCACAGAGTACCAAAAAAGACCGCGCACATTCGACACATAGCCGAAAGGTTTTTAGAAACCCATCTTGCACTAACCTTATGCACACCTAAATGATCATGCAGGATTCGACGAACACTACATGTTTCAAGAATAAACTATAAGATACTTCTTCTAGCAATACTGACAAATCCTGTCCTAAAACATGCCATTTAGCCCTTCTGGCAGGGAAAGCTGTCCAGCCCAAACATTTACCGAAAACCGTTCTTGATGTTTCAATCCTACAACTGACTACATGGGGGTGTTCATCGACCCAAATTGCATTTCTGGAAAAGTTAGCTTGATCCGTAAATAGTATTTTTTGGTCAAACAAGGGATAACGCTCGGTTTTGTCCAAAAACCATTGACAAACATTAACACGGAAGGGAGAATCTCTGGTAAGTAAAACTTGGACTCGTTGAAAATGACATGGGTACAATAGAAAATCGTGCAAAATTTTCCATACCAAGATATTCGAGATACTCAGGTTATTGCCCGCTTCTTCAATTTCTGCAGTTCTTACAGGCCCCTTATAAAATGATTATTGGCCTTCAAAGTACTTATTTAATAAATAATAAAACATATATATTTTTTTAATATCTGTAATACGACTCTGTGTGTTTTGAAAATAGACCAGTGGCGGGCTTACATGTGTTTGGCAGGTGTTGATGATCCTACAGGGTGTTCAAGAGAAACCAATATAATTGGTCCATTTTAAATAGAAAAAACGCAGTATATATTATGACTTTTTCTTAAAGATTTTACAAAAACCAACTCTCTTATACTCTTTCATATACATATTTTTAATAGTTTGCGATTTTTAACTTTTAAAATATTTACCCTTCTTTCTGTCTAGACTGTTGTAATAACATTGGCATTGTCAAATTTTTGACACCCATTGGTTTTAATAAATTATTTCAAAAATGTACGAATACGAAGCCGTGAGGTGTATTTTTGGAATCTAGTGCTCTGTCTGTAAGAGTTATTATTTCTGTTCTCAAGGTGGTTGTTTGACAGTTGTTTGACATCAGCTTGTCAAATCAATTCTGCGCGTCTTATTAATTTGATGTTTAAAATAATCCGAGCATTGTTATTTTAAAAAAGAACGATCGAGGTTGTTAACAAGATTGTTTTCGAAAAATCGTCACCGTAGATGAAAAAGAAGCTTCGCGGTTTCTTGTTCTAGAGAGACGCATTGTTTTTCTATCGGGCTCCTGCGGACCACGATGGAACTTTCGCAAAATTTATTTCTTTTTAATTACGGCAAACTTTGATAAATGTAATCATTTCATATGAAACTTTTTCAAATATCCCGCGCACCCTGTATGACAGACGAAACCTGAAACTCCCTCTCGACACAATTTTCGAGAATATTTGAACCAAATTATCCCATGTTTTGTAGTACCGTTGCCGGTACTACAAAAAATTGTCATGTCAAAATATATAATTTCGTGAAAATCTGAACTTTTAGTAGTTATTTATTTTGATAAATGGATTTTCATCAAGTAAAAGCCACCTCAGGTCAATTAGGAAACATCCCGTATATACAGAAATTTGGTAAATGGATTTTGTGCTTGTTCGCATCGTGTGCTTTTTTTTAAGTCCACCAGTGGCGTACGTGCGCGATTCGCACCCTCGACAGGCTCTGTATACGTGACATTTTGTTTCGCTTCCTTTTTAAGTTTTCAAAATGGACGTTACGCCGCCCCCATAATTATAACCTGTTAGATAACGCCCCCCGGGGGGATGGTTTCAATGGGGTGAAAACGCAACGGGGACCTAAAATCGCTCGTCAAAGCTAACGATCAGTTACAAAGGTCGATTAAAAAAAAATCAATCGAAAATTGGATCCACTTCGACGTCGACAGTAATAATAATAATAATAATTTGTCGAGGCTCTCGCCCCCGTCACCCACCCCCGCCACCCCACTTCTCCCGCTTCGCTCGTATTATTTCAATAAAACGCGAACAGTCGGCGTTCTGCTATAAGCCGCCGCCATATTGATTACTTTTAACAAAGTTGCCCGATGCACTCGCTGCCGTATAAATTTTATTACTTAAATTATTATCGGAACTCGGTACGGATTTTAGATGAAAAATTCCCTAAATGGGCGTTTTAATTCGAATAGGTCTCTACAGAAAGACGGGATAGACGCTATGGTGTCAGGTGTTGGGTCGGTATGTTATGCCCCGGTCAGAGCAGTTATACTTCGACCAGAAATATAGCGCTTTTACAACCGAACCCGCGATTAACTTTGCCTTCTGTTTAACACTCCAAAACCGCAGCCCTTGTCGAGCAGATTCTTACCCGTAACCATTCCAGGACCGTCCTAGGAATTTATCTACCAAGTATGACCAGAAGACGCAGAGTAAACGACTCCATAAACTTTTATTCTTGCCAATAACCCACCCCTACTCTCCGGTTAACTTAAATTTCTTTGAATTTCCTAATTTAAATTGTCAAAAAAAAAACGTGGCAACTATTTTTTGAAATCATCGAATCGAAACGTCTTTGTTGATTCGACGATGCGGAGAATAACTGCTTGCTAAAAATTATATTCATCTCGGTGTCGGACGTAGGGTTTAACTTCCTAACCGGCTTAGATGTAGGCAACCCGTCGAACGTAGCGCGAGATTAATTTGTCAAACTCGACAAATCCGATTCGGATAAACTCGCCCGACCGTGACGGCGGTTCCTATTAAGACGAAGACGAATTTAACGCGTTTTAGCAACACCCCGTATGATTCGCAAAGGCCGCGAAACGAATGACATTTCGAAAGGTCGAACAATGGGCAACGCACCAGGAAATGTCATCGATAACGAAGTAAACTTTTCACCGCCAACTTCGCGTTAATCCTTAATCGCGTTTATCATTTAGGCACTTTTTAATAACTCCAAAGTTTCCAAATATCCTGAAACCGAAACGGTACTACTTCGCGACGCGCAGCGTTCTGCGCGGTCGCGCCCATCGATTTCAATGTCATGGAAGGACACGCGAGCGGCAAAGATAATTTTCGATTTGCGCGGTTACCACGAAAGCGTCGGCCCGTTTTTATAGAAAATACGCGATATAGCGTTCATTTAACGCGTTTCGCATATTCCGGCCGCCGTCTCGGCGTCGGTTCGACACGGTTCCGAGCGCGGTACTCGGACGAGTCTTCCTCCACAACGTTCAAATCGATGGCCGAAATACTCCGCGCATGCGCCACTCGAAGTTTGTTTGAGCGCCACGAAACGGTTTTTACCGTTTGGATTTGCAGTTTGGTTTAAGAAATAATGAGCAAACGTGTAGCTAAAGCTCGGTTTTTGTATCGACGCAGATGTGGAGGCTGACGTACCTGCTCGTGCTGGTCCCGATGATCTGGAGCGTCGCGTCGCGACCGATGGAGCCGGCCGAGTGGCTGCACATCCTGGAGCACACACAGCGGGTCAGCGACGGCGGAACGGACGTGTTTCGCGCGTTCGACGAAGCTCACGGACGGGGTGAGTACCACCGACGTTAAACACGCGTCTCGATTGACCGTTAACGACCGATCACGCACGAAAATTTGACAGCGCCGGTCGCATTTGCGATTTTTAGTTCGCTGATCGGCCGGCGTGGCGCTTTTCCGTCATTGTACGGCAGAGCCTACTGCGTTGTGTTAGGTTACGGAGTCCCTGCTACGTGTTTGGAAATTTAAACGTTATACGGATGAATTGTATGCCGAGATAACCGTTTGCGATGAGATTTATATCGAAAATAAAGGATTCCTCCCATTTTATCGAAAAAACTACTTGCGCGAAGAGAATTTTTTCGATACTGAACAGGCCTAGTTTACAATGAATAAAAAACGAACTGCAATATAGGTTATATCGCTGCTGATGTTTATATACAGGGTGTTTTGTAATTTAATGTCAATAATGAATTAATTAATTGATTCAGAACGTCTTAACTTTTGAGATACAGGGCGGTAAAGTTTTCGATATTTTAATGAAATTTAGGGGCATTTTTGTTTATGGGTATATATTATATGCAGAGAAATTAGTTTTTATTTTTAAGTGAAACCCATACGACGCACTGAAAAAAATTAAGACATACAAAAATAAAGTGCACATTGATAGTTAGAACCGTAATATTGTTATACATATAATAAATATTTAGTTATTGCTGTGAAACAATACACAGCAATACACAGAGAAGTTCGTCGCACACACAGCGTCTGGGGGTAAACTGATCCGATAATGGAAATTCCTGTTACTTATAAAATGCAGGCGATGTCAAGTCCTGACTTGTTCCTTTCTTATTTTAAATGGATGACCACGTAGGTGTTCATCATTGCTTGAGACCATAAGGGGCACGTCAGATGGAAATTGGTCATGCGCAAGCCTATACATTTGAATGAGATCCCCCCGCAGCCGACGCTGACTTAATATTGGCAGACTAAGTATTTCGAGACCGTCATCGTATATCTAAGTTGAAGTGTCCAGCGCGTAGCTGCTCGTTGCACTCTTTCCAGAACATCACAATCACCCAATAGCCATGGGTTCTAGACTGGGGAAGCAAATTCCAGGATGGGGCGAATGTGAGTGGTGAAAAGTATGCAAGCGATGCGAGAACTAGGATTTTTAAAACTGTTTTTTAACAAAAATAACGCGCAGTTTGCTTTCTTTGCAATATTTCCAACATTTGACACAAAGTTTCCATTGATATAATAGTTCAAACCCAGATTGTTCTTGCCAACATGCAGCCCAGAGCACTTTTGAGCATTCAGCGACAATAGCCAAGTTGAACACCACTTGGAAATAGTATTCAAGTCTCTCTGCAATACTTCCGCACGTGTTGAAGGATTTTCAAATAATTTAGTGTCATCAGCATAAGCGCTCACATGAGAATCAATGCTGGAGAGCAAATCCACGGTATCCACTAAGAATAGCACTGGTCCCAGCACCGAGCCCTGGGGAACACCACTAGGCACGTTTTGGTGAAAAAGCGTTACCAATTCGAACTCTGAACGACCGGTGGCATGAGAACGTCGGTATCCACTCTAGCAGTTTACCCCCCACTCCGACCTTTTCAAGTTTAAATAACAAGTGTCGATGTGGCACTTTGACAAACGTTTTTCTGAAGTCGAGGTAAATAATATCCCCCGGATCACCTGAGTCAAGAGATATTGTCCAGTGATTCAAGCATATCAATGTATTTGATATGACTGATCTGCCGGGAACAAAGCAATGCTGTGATATAGGTAAAGTCTGTTCATAGATATGAGAAAGTGATACGAATTAAGGAAAGACCCGGGCAAGCTGTAAGAATGAAATATGGCCGCACAGGTCCGTCCTTTGCTTAGAATGTAGTTAGTTGGTGTTTTGTTAGGAAAGATACTAAACAATATTTATTTATTTGTTTAAGTCTAAAATAAAATTACAAATTATTTTTATTACCTACTTAAATTACTTAATTATTCACATAATATATCAGTATCAGTATCGCTATCATCGCCTTCGACTTCGATATCTATAATTTTGGGGATATTGGAGTTAACACGGGGAAAAACATTGTTACGATGGATGGCAAATTTCAGTTGGTGCCAAACATGATCAATGGGATTAAATATACAGTGGTAAGGTGGAAGGAAGCCTTAAAACTGTATGCCCTAGATTTTTAGCATAATTATCACAGACGTATTCCTTTTGTAGGTTCAAGTTTCGTAGAACCTCAATTAATTGTTTTTTGGTAGAATCTTCGTAAAAATAAATGTCGTTATTATACATCTAGTTTTGGATTGTCGCTTTTGTGTCACATGAGGAAGAGGTTTTAGTCAACTGTCTACTGTGATAACTTGCATTACGCTACTAGGACGAATGTTTGGAACTAGTTTGTTTTTAAACCAACTTCCAAATAAATCACCGGTGGTGTCTTTATGGTAATCCAGAGAAGAATCTTTAATATTTTTCGCAGACAGAGGAAGTCTATTTGGAATCCAACCATCTTTAGAGCTAGCATGTAAAATAATTATTCTTTTACCTCTTTTTGATGGCTCGTTTGTTTTACACTTATCAGTTGGGTCAACCCAACCCTTTTCCAGGGTATCATAAGTGTCGAACCAGGTTTCATCCAAGTAAATAATTGGCCTTTGTTGTTCTCTGTAAATCCTAATTTTTTCTAGATATTCCAGTCGCCATTTCCGAATTCTAAAAGATTCCATTAAAACTTGCCTTTTGTCAATATTTTAAAATCTAAAACCCATGTGTTGAATACACTTCCATAATGTCATGAAAATGTCAGCATCGCTTCTTTTTTTCCTCGCTGGAATGGGATTATTCGCAATTTTCCATACAATTGATGTTGGAATTTTCGTCGACGTAGCCGTTTCTTCCAAATGTGCTTGCTTGCTGGAACCACGTTCAATGAAAGTCAAATAAACATTGTTTATAACTTCCTCAGTCTCAATAGAATAGTGTTTTCTACATTTGAACGGGAGCATCTCCTGAGATACACTAGACTCGCACATATTTTGCATAATTCGCATACGAGTCAACACACGCTGCATTACACACGAAAATGAAAATTGCTCACTTTCTTATCTATGAACAGACCATATAATATGGCAGTGGATCAAAAACGGCAACACCTGATTTACTATAAGGCATTCAAGAACATACATAAAATACACACTAGGCTGATAGGGCGGTAATTTGAAACATCGAGCTTATCACCCTTTTTATAAATCGGTGTTACATTTGCGGATAACCGGGAGTGTGGCAGAGTCCAAAGCCGCAACGCTTTTACTGGAAATTCTATAAGTTCCGGGAGCAGAATATTCTTTTAACTCAGAAATAGTTTTTTTCACGTCCTGTTGGTCCAAGTGAATGTCTTCTAATAAATCTAGATTTATGGGACCCTCATAGTGAGACGGTAGTTTAGCTGGTTGATCAGCAAAGACACTAGCCAAATATGAAGCAAATTCATTTGAAATGAAGTTCCGGTTGTAGTTATGTCTAAATAAAGAAATGAAAACCTTTTTGAAGTACACCCCCAGTATTTCTTATTAAATCGCGGGAAACCAGATTTTTAAGATGACCCCCAAGAAAAAGTCCAAACTATTTAAATCTGCGGACCCAGGAGTTCATGTGATGGAAATATTCTTTTACTGCAAACCTAGTGAGCAGGCGCGCCGTCATATGTGCAATATTGACAAATCCTCTCCTAAAAACAGGCGATAATAATGGCCATTTAACCGTTCGGGCAGGAAAAGCTGCCCAATGAAGTAATTTTCTACAATTCCAGCCCAAACATTTACAGAAAACTGTTCTTGATGTTGAGATGAGATTAATAATATGAGACATTCTAATGTATTGCTTAACGATCAATTAGATTTAAATACCTCTCCATTATTAGGCTTAAATTCAATCGACGGAATGTTTCCTACACCTTCATCACGATCCGGAAGATGTTTAACCCAATTCCCCACTCCGGGTCTGCGGGATTAAGTAACTTACCGTGAAACAGTTATATCCCCCGCACCTGAGGCTTTGACTGATTACCAACACGGACTGTCCTCCGTAACCCCCATAACACCGACTACAACGATTCGCCCAAATCCAATGACGCTTTGCATAATCCGACACTATGATTGTGCGAGATTGAACGGCGTGGACGTATAATTCGACTCCGGAATTGTATACGGGGCTGCCACAACAAGCAACACGTAGTGGAACGTCCTGTGTGTCTTCAAACGTTTGGTAGCCACCATGGTGACAGTATTTAGGTCATATGTAGTGAGAACTTTGTCTTCCTTGCTTTCATGAGAATCCTGCTAGCATGGCAGGAACCTTCTGGTTGTTGGTATGGTTAAGCCGGGATTCGGGAGACCAAAACAGTATGCAGTATTTTGGTTAGTTTGGGTCGATGTACCTGGCTTTGTTCTTGTAAGTATGCTTCTTGATGTGATCGTGATTGCTATTTTGCAGAGTCTTGGGATGATTCCTAGTTTGGTTGCTTCAGAATAGTTAGACTGTAAATTTGGAGGTTTCGTATAGACAGGCGAGACATTATTGCTACTCACTATAGAAAGGAATGCAGCTGTTCTATTCCAGATGACGAAGCCCTAGGTTTGACAATTGCCGCGAATAGAATAAAACTTTATTAACCATTCAGATAAGTTAACAACACCTAGCATGAAGACTCTTCAAAGAATATAGTATTTGGTTAGCTTCGATCGATGTACCTGACTTTGTTCTTGTAAGTATGCTTCCTGATGTGATCGTGATTGCTCTTTTGCAGAGTGTTTGGATGATTCCTAGATAGAAACTGCACTTAGCAATTTGTTGTGCACTTTAGGGATTTTCAGATCTGAAGGAAGTTCACCGCTTGAAAATACGGCTTTTGTTGCAGCTGTCTAAGGTGTGCTTTAGTATTTTTTGTATGTTTTTCAATATTCGTGGTATAAATCTGGAGCAGTTGTTTTGTAGCACGAGATGAATCGAGGCTATTTTCCCCCAAT